TCCACCACTTCCTCCTCCTCATCCTCCTCGTCCTCCTCCTCCTCCTCCTCTGGTTAGAAATCCACAACTTTCTTGCTTTTATTTATTGCTTTCAACATGATAAAATTCACTGGTTCTTATTTCCTTCTCCTTCTTTTCCTCCTCTTCCTCCTCCTCCTCCTCCTCAACTGGGCAGCAATTCAACATTTCTCTAGCTTGGATTCTATTCTTAAGTATTTACAACTGGGAATAAGTAACTTACCTTGTGACTTAACTCAAGTATTTACAATTGTTAAGTATTTACTGGGTGCAACGTACTTACCTTGTGACTTAAGTATTTACAATTGTTAAGTATTTACTGGGCGTAACTTACTTACCTTGTGACTTAAGTATTTATAATTGTTAAGTATTTACAACTGGGTGTCACTTACCTTGTGACTTACTTATTCCATTATATTTTTCTGATGTAAGGAGACTTGTGATTTCATGGTAAAACTTTCTGTTCCCCTTTATCTCATGGAAATACCTGTTGTGTTTTATGTAAGCAACTCTTCTTGTAACATCTACAAGCAGACACTGAGCGCAATAAAGTTGTTGGCGAAGCATAGGTTCTCAACCCTGCAGACTCCTCCTGTCATCTTTTATCTTCCGCACACCCCCTATCCAGGTTGGGACCCTCTTGCTGGCCAAGAGCCCCCAGCAGACGTGCTACTCTTCTCAAAGATTGACTGACTCTTTCCTCCACTTCCTCCTCCTTCTGGTAATTCAAAATTATTGTAGCCTGGATTTTATTCTTTAAACATAATAACATTGACTGACTGTTTCCTCCTCCTCTTCCTTTTTCTCCATCTTCTCCCCCTCGCAGCAATTCACAATTTGTCGATTTTGCATTTAGGCTTTAAACATATTAAAATTCACTGTTTGTTTCCTCGTCCTCCTTTTCCTCCTTCTTTTGTTCTTTCTCCTCCTCCTCCTCCTCATTCAGCCAGCAATTCACAATATTTCTAGCTTGGATATAATTCTTTCAACATGATAAGATTGACTGATTGTTTCCTCCTCTTCTTCCTCCTCCTCCTTTACTGGGCAGCAATTCACAGTTTTTCCAGCTTGTGGTATTTTTTGCTTTCAACATAATAAGTTTAATGGGTTCTTTTGTCCTCCTCCTCTTCCTCCTCCTCCTCCACCTCCTCCTCCACCTCCACCTCCACTGGGCAGCAATTCAAAATTTTTCTCGCTTGAAATTAATGCTTTCAACATAATAAGATTGACTAATTCTTTTCTTTTCATCCGTTTCCTTTTCCGCCTCCTCCTCCTCCTATGCTGCGCAGCAATTCAGTTTTTAAAGTTGGATTTTATTCTTTCAACATAATAAGATTCGCTGATTCTTTCTTCCTCCTCCTTCTCCTCCACAACCACCTCCTTCTCCTCCTTGTCCTCCTTTTCCACTGGGTAAAAATTCACAATATTTCTAGCTTGTTCTTTATGCTTTCAACATAATAAGATTGACTCAGTTTTTCCTCCTCCTCTTTCTGCTCCTCCTCCTCCTCCAGTGGGCAGCAATTCAGTTTTTCTAGTTGGACTTTTTTCTTTCAACTTAATAAGATTCACTGATTCTTTCTTCCTCCTCCTCCTCCTCTTCCTCCTCCTTGTCCTCCTCCTCCTCCACTGGTTAGAAATTCACAAATTTTCTAGCTTGTATTTATTGCTTTTTACATAAGATTGACTGATTCTTTGATCCTCCTCCTTCTTCTCGTCCTCCTCTTCCTCCTCCTCCTCCTCCTCCTCCTCCTCCTCCTCCTTCTGTTTTTTTTTCCTCCGGGTAGCAGTTCACAGTTTTTTCTAGCTTGGATTTTATTCTTCTAACATAATAAGATTCATTGATTCTTTCTTCCTCTTCCTTTTTTTGACCTCCTTCTCCTTGTCTTTTTCTTCCGCTTCTGGGCAGCAATTACAATATTTGTAGCTTGGATATTATTCTTTCAACACAATAAGTTTGATGGATTTTTTCTTTCTTTTCCTCTTTGTCCTTCTCCTCCTTCTCCTTTTTTTTTCTCCTCCACCTCCTCCTCCTCTTTCTCCTTCTCCTCCTCTGTGCAGCATTTCACAATTTCTCTAGCTTGGATTCTATTCTTAAGTATTTACAACTGGGAATAAGTAACTTACCTTGTGACTTAACTGAAGTATTTACAATTGCTATGTATTTACTGGGTGTAAAGTACTTACCTTGTGACTTAACTTAAGTATTTACAATTGTTAAGTATTTACTGGGCGTAACTTACTTACCTTGTGACTTAAGTATTTACAATTGTTAAGTATTTACAACTGGGTGTAACTTACCTTGTTACCTATTCCATTATATTTATCTGATGTAAGGAGACTTGTGATTTCATGGTAAAACTTTCTGTTCTTCTTTATCTCATGGAAATACCTGTTGTGTTTTATGTAAGCAACTCTTCTTGTAACATCTACAAGCAGACACTGAGCGCAATAATGTTGTTGGCGAAGCATAGGTTCTCAACCCTGCAGACTCCTCCTGTCATCTTTTATCTTCCGCACATCCCCTATCCAGGTTGGGACCCTCTTGCTGGCCAAGAGCCCCCAGCAGACGTGCTACTCTTCTCAAAGATTGACTGACTCTTTCCTCCTCTTCCTTCTCCTGGCGATTCAAAATTTTTATAGCCTCGATTTTATTCTTTAAACATAATAACATTGACTGACTGTTTCCTCTTCTTTCTTCTCCTCCTTTTTCTTCTTATCCTCCTTCTCGCAGCAATTCACAATTTTTCAATTTTGCATTTATGCTTTAAAAATAATATGATTCACTATTTGTTTCCTTCTGCTCCTCCTTCTCGTTTTTTCTTTCTCCTCTCCCTCCTCCTCATTCTGCCAGCAATTCACAATATTTCTAGCTTAGATATAATTCTTTTAACATGATAAGATTGAATGATTGTTTCCTTCTCTTCCTCCTCCTCCTCCTCCTGCTCTGGTCAGCAATTAACAATTTTCCTAGCTCGGATTTTAATCCTTCATCAAAATAAGATTGACTGATTCTTTCCTTTTCCTTCTTCTCCTCCGCCTCATCGTCCTTCTCCACTCATTTCACAGCTTTTCAAGTTGGATTTTATTCTTCCAACTTAATAAGATTCACTGATTCTTTTTTTCTTTTCCTCCACCTCCTGCTGCTGCTCCTCCTCCTCCTTCTTTGGGCAGCAATTCACAATTTACATAGCTTGAATTTTATTTTTTCACCATAATAAGATTGACTGATTGTTTTCCCCTACTTCTTCTTCTTTTATTCCTTTTTCTCCTCCTTCCAGCAGAAGCAATTCACAATTTTTCTGGTTTGGATTTTATGCTTTCAACATAATAAGATTGAGTGATTCTTTTTTTTTCCTTCTCCTCCTCCTCCTTCCCCTCCTCCTACTCTTCCTTACTTACTGGGCAGCATTTCACAATTTTTCCAGCTTGTATTTTTTCTTTCAACATAATAAGATTGACTGGTTCTTTCCCTAAATCCACTGACATTAATCAAATATTGGATGATGCTACTGGAAAATCGAGCTTTAAATATACGTTGGAATAAATAAAAAACTACCTTCCAAGGGACTCGTATTGATGTGAATTTCTTACATATGTTTTGTCTAAGTAAAAGAAACCTTAATAATTAAAGCCAGACCAGAACTCCATATGAAGGTTTGAGGTGAAATAATACACAAAAGTATGCAACTTTCTAACCCTGTCTTCTGTACTTCTCCCTAGTAGCAGAGAAGAGAGGAACATCTCCTTCTACAGTCTCCCCTGCTGATCAGTGGAGATAGCTAAATGGTCGTTAGCTGCTTTATGTTCTCAGTCATCTATGATTTTTTACTTTGGAGACACATCTGACATAAAGTAAGCAGAAAAGAATCAGTGATGTTTTAGTGTCAGAGCTTAAGCTTATAGCGAAGCTATACAAAATCTCTGAAATTCCCAGACCAAAGTATTCCCATTAAAAGAAAAAAAAAACTGAATTGTTTTCCAATATGAATATTACTGAGAAAAGTAAATAGCCCATTGCAGTTAGAGTATCTGCCTCTGACTCAAGAGAAGCAGTAAGAAGATTGACTTCCTTTTACATTTTTTCTCAAACTCCAAGAGAGCAAGCAGAGAGGAAGATGAAGAAATACTACAGTGAGCTGGCTAGATGATCAGTACACTCACATGAACAAAAAGAGCCTCTTTCCAAAGCAAAATACATAGTCAATACAATGTTAATTTGACCACTATGGTTTACCCCAGCACTTTCAGAAAGGATTTTACTACCTTGACTCACTCAAAATAAAATCCATTATTTGCAGAAGAACTAACAGATTAATGAAAGAGAATATAAAGCAACATAGATTTTAAGGACACTAATAAAATTCACTTAAGAAATTTCTCCATTTATAATAGCTTAGCAATTACATTATTATCCTATAGTCTGAAACAAAGGAAATCATATTTTTGTTGTGTCCATTCTCAAGATGAATGCAGAAACCAAGTTCAAGCTCCCTAATTGTTAAATTCAGTTTTCTATTGGGAAAATAACACATTAAAGATGAACATAGAAATGATAGAAATAAAACTTCTAAGCTGGAAACTGACTTCATTACTGTTAAATCGTATTAATAATTTCTAATTGATTTTTATTGTGCAGGCACCTTATATTCCAGAACCATGTTCATCTATTTATCACAATGTATTCTATATGACATATGGAAACTAATACATTACTTCATTAATATTTAAATCTTTCTCTAGTTATGGCTCAGGGATATTTAATATTCTAAAACATAAGCATTTATAATTACATGTTTTACATTTTACTCTAATTTTTAATACTGCCAAAATTATTTAGCATAACTTTTTAACTACATACTCTTTCTCTCTTTACCATTAGCATATCAATCAAATTTGCATTATTCTGCTTTGCTCATTTTATTAAAAGCTAATTCAGGGCACAATTGACTTTTTATTTGTTTAACAAGTGAAGAAATATTTACCCTGAAAGCCATTGCATTGTAGAGATTCATCATCATAGTATAATGTGCTACCTGTGAATCAAGAAGATGGCATACATTTCAGTTACACAAAGACAGTGCAGCCTATTTTTACATATAAAAGATAAGAATCTTTACACATAATACATAATAAGAGTTCTAGCCTTAGAAAAATGAAATCAAATGTTGTATTGAAGAGATAGGCTTCCTAATACATAATGCAAGCTTAACCAGATAAGTCTATGGTAGTCAAACTAGGAGCTAATGGAGATATATGATCATAAAATGCTCTCCGCTGAGTTTGATAATCAATGGTGCTCTACTGAGAATAGAATAACAAAGCAGAAATATTCACAAGTGCTGGTGACATGTAGTATTGTATGATTTATTCACTGGGGTTCTTTTAGCCAAAACTCACAGAAACATAAAAGGAATTCATATTTCAAGACGTCTGGTTTAATGAAAAATTCAAAGAAATGCTGTCTTCAGTCTAAATCATTCAAGGATGTGGATGCAGTGATGGAGCAAAATTGTGCCTTCCAACTATCTATGCAAAATGTTATGTGCGTAGCTGCCTCCTGAGTAATCCTTGGGAATTTTGTTTCATTTAACATTTATTTTAACACCATAAAATCATAAATACAATGATATTATGTTACAGCAAATTCCTTGATATAGTGAAGACTTCCTGAAGTGTTGGTTTCTCTCTAGTAAAGAAACATTTATCTATTAATATACAAATTTCTGTTTCAGTAAATCATTTGACAATGTAGCTTATTTCGATGAAAATATTACTTTAAATAAAGCTTCCCATCTGCTCTCTTAATTAAAAATATAAAATTAATATAATTCATGACAGTACAATAAACAATAAAAGCAATGAGATACATATGAGATATTTTTAACTTTATTTTTATTCAATAAAAATTTATTCACTATAACTTGAGCCCAGGTAATAGCTATTATGTTTCAGGCAAAAATCAGAATAAAGTGCCTTAACTCTTTATAAAGGGGCTTTCTGCCCCATGACAAACAGAAATTCATATAAAAAGGTTTCACTGTAATTAGTGTTGTTTGAATTGCCTGGTCTGATCCAAAGCAAATTGTCTGTGGAGAGCAGCAGGGCTGGATTATTTATCAACAGTCTGAGCAATTAATAAACAGTTGGTTGCAATATGTTGTTTACAAATGAACACAACGGTGTTTCTTTATTTTAAACTCTCTTTCCTCATGATGATAAGCAAGGCATAATTGATGTTTGAGGTGATTTAAAATATTTACTTTAATATTGTACTTCTGGAAGTCACATTGAAGCAGACATTGCTATTAAGCATTTCTATAAAGAAGAAATACACTGAATATTACATATTTCCAAAAGTTTGGGTTCCAAAAAAATGTTTTTTGCCTTTCATATCACTGTTTAGTTACCAGTAGAGTGTATGTGTGAGCTTCTGAGCCACAAACCTAAGTTCAATTCTTGACTTTTCTAAGTTCAATTCTATGCCTTGAACAACCTTCTGAAAGTCTCTCAGTCTTCATTTCCATGCTTATGAAACAGGTCATTATATATTTCATTGAGTTGTTGTGAAGAGTAAAATGATATACAGTATCTAAGGTGCTCAGGACATAGCTGATAGTCATTATGAAAGGGATTATCAGTAGTGCTCACGTTACACATTTTGTAGTTAAAAGTACATAATTTAACTATAAGTAAAATTCCAAAAAGTATAAAGGGCTCAATTTTATTATGAACTAACAGGAAAAAAAGATTCAGATTTTGAGCCTAAGAATTCTGAATCCTGTAGTTAAGAGGTAAAAAAGCACTTTGATTCTCACACATTATTCTTACGTGAACCACTAATTGACACCACATTTATTCTCAACTGTCTAGCCCAGATGCTTTAGAAAGTACTGAAAGAAGCATATGCAACTAAAATAGTCATATTCATAGAGACAGAAATTAGAAAGTGGTTACCAGGGGCTGGAGGGAAGGGAGAGTTATCGTTTAACATGTACAGAATTTCAATTTGAGAAGATTTAAAAGTTCTGGAGATTAACAGTGGTGTGGTTAAATAACAGTGTGAATATACTTAATGTCACTGAATAATACAATTAAAAATGATAGAAGTGGTAAATTTTATGCTATGCATATTTTACCACAAGTTTTTAAAAAAACTAAAACATTACATGCGAATGAACTGCATTAACATAAGCTATCTAGGAGATAAATATAAACACTTTAAACTTATGTAAAATTTTATCTGTCTTTGTTTTTCCATTCTGAAAATGATAATGATTTGTTATATTAACATTAACCCTTTGGGTTACCTGAACTTAAAATATAACTCATAGAAAGCTCTTGTTCTTAAAAACTTATTTTCTAGAATTCTGTCTTAAAAGGTATATTTTCATTCCATGAAATTGGGTAAGCAAAGCATATTATACCTACCAAATGTTAATAACCTTTCCAAGAATGACAAGCAAGTTTCATGTCTCAGCAAACAAAATTATTTTTTATTAATTATCTATTTTTAATCATCAAGATATCAAGTCTACTTTAAAGGGGAAGATTAAAGATCTGGAGTGAAAAGTAAGTATAACAGAATTAGGTTGTTTTATTGTAGTGGAAACACAGTGCTCAATTATAGATGTTCACCAAATGTTGAATAAAGAAAAAGAGGTAGGGGAAAAGAACAGGAGAGAAAGATAGGGAGAATTGATGTCTTGCATTTACATTAGATAGGAAGAATTTCTGGGATTACAAAATAGCATTTGAACATTACCAACCATTTGTAAGCTGTATGTGGCCTTTGTCATATTACCTAGCTCAATTTTTAGAAAGCTTATGAAATGTTTTAGAAGGAATATATTCCTTTTGAAAACACAATTAATTTTCTGACTGTTTGATATCACATGGATCTTTTAGACAGGGCTGCTATTCAATGGAATTAGACCAGAGAGGTCATGCTTATTATTTAAAACTGATGTCCTTTCTGATTTGTTGTCCACCAACTGTGATAGGTGACCCTACTGTATACATGGCTAAGTATTTTTAATGTTATCCTGCTTGTAAGACAAACTTCTGAGAACTCAGTTTCACCTACGGTTATGTTGGTTTTCTATTTTATGTTGAGAATTTGATGCTTTCATTTTCACCTATCATTTCCAATTATTCCCTGGGCTTTGTCAAGTCTTCTTTTTCCCCTGACTGAACAACTTACAATCTTCATACCTGCTTATTCTTATGTTTAATCTATTTGGAACAGCTCTTCTAGATTAATTTTGTAAAGTATTGCTTTTATCAAGTCCTTTTTCAAATTTTTTAAAGCATAGACTTTCAATAGTTTCCAACTGTTTAAAGCAATGCATCCTAATTGGGCTGATTGATATAACTAACACACCTGAGTATTTCAGATCACTAGGAGAGAGAGAGAGATAAAATTACAAGCTAAGGCACATGACACTTCATGTTTTCTATTTCTCCATAGGATAATGATTACTGATGAGAGTATATCCCATATTTAAGTTTCATTTTTTGCTATCAAGTGAATTACAGTGGGGCAAGAGATAAAAGAGAATTGCTCTCTTACAGGTCAAAGTGATAACCAAAATTCACCAAAATCAGGTGCCAATCATTTTTTTCCAATTATCACTCCATATTCCCTTTCCCTTAAACCTCAATTTGATCCAATTACTGGATGTATTTGTCTCCTAAACTTTCATATTTATATGACTTTGCTTGCCTGAAATGTCTTACCATTCCTTTTAGCTGTCCAAATCCTATCTCCCCTGTTTTCCTTACAAGCATTTGTTTATAGAATAAATTACTTTATCTCCCCTACTACAAGTACTACCAAGTGGAATAAGATGCTAACATTCTCCTAACTCCAAGGGTACTTTCAAACCATTTCAAACCAGTGGGATGAACTTCTTTAATTAAAGAAATAAATAACAGAACCCACTTTTAATCTGAGGCTTTTCAACTTTATTAGTCTCTATCCCTTTTTGGTGTTGTTATCCTTCCTTAAGCTTCTGGATCATACTATCCTCTATCTCTTCTTCTTGCCCTCCCAACTTGCTCCTGATACAGGTTATGAAGATTTCAGGTGACCACAGTCGCTCATGCCTGTAATCCCAGCACTTTGGGAGGCCGAAGCAGGCAGATCACTTGAGGTCAGAAGTTCAAGACCAGCTTGGCCAACATGGTGAAACCCTGTCTTTACTAAAACCACACACACAGAAAAAAATCAGCTGAGCATGGTGGTGGGTGCCTGTAATCCCAGCTACTCAGGAGGCAGAGACAGGAGAATCACTTGAACCCAGAAGGCAGAGGTTGCAGTGAGCTGAGATCATGCCACTGCACTCCAAACTGGGCGACAGAGTGAGACTCCATTTCAAAAAAAAAAAAGATTTTGACACCTAGGTTAAAGTCTTACTGTTCATGGGAACTTCTGCCACTATCCCAAGACATTTCATATTCATATCAACAGCACAGTCAATTACCTAATCTCACAGTCACCTACCTTTTCCAGTCCAATGAGCCTCACTTCAGTTTAGCCTTATATTCCCAAAGAATGCTACAGACTTTTTCAACTATGACTGTTCCTTGTTTTAAACCCAGACTGCAAATTCTTCCCCATCAAGCCCAGGAGGTTTAATTTCTATTAAAAGACTGTTTCACCTAATCTAAACAGATCTAGTACAAATCTCTTCTCTTCCTCAGTTTAAAAATCCTTCACATATTTTCATATATAATATACAAAAACTGCAGTTGTTTTTGTTATACGAACATACCATAAGCTATTTAATCTTTCCTTTATTGCTGAGCATTTTGGTTGAAAACCAAGAAAATATGAGCTTCAAGGATGAAATGATCAACCATTTCAAGAGCAAAACACTTAAAGTAATATATAATAATTTTGAGTAACATATCTAAATAATTTGACAAGTTCAATCATTTGCTAGATCGAACAATATAAAAGAAATATATGCATTAAAGTGATGAGAATGAAACCTTATAGAAGCCATGCACAATGGACAACACATCTAATGAG